GGCTTTCCCGGATCGCGGGCAGCCCCGCAGAGCCACGCCGCACACCCCACCGCTCAGCCTGGGCAGAAGGTTATTCTCTCCAGGGCATTTGCAACCACCGTACCGTGCACTAATGGATGCTCCCTCTATTGTTCAGCTGCGTGCCTGGATTGGCCGAAGGGCTGTGGGAAACACCAGCCACCCCCAGACTCACGTATCTGCCCAAGCTCCCGGTGGATAAATAGAGGCAGGCTGGTAGCGGCCAAAGCACAGCCTTACGCTCGGCACAGCAGCCCGGCGTGGGGGTCTGCGCCCAGGCTGAGCACTCAGAATGGCTCCCAGTAACACCCTCATGATGCACATGGAGGAGAAACTGCTGCCAAAAGAGAAGAATAAAGTAAGTAGAGCCCTCGACAGGACCGGAAAGGCTGGCCTGCCTCTGTCAAACAAATACTAGGTGGGAAAAGATGAGATAAGGAGGGAGAAAGTGGTCTGGGGAAAGGCAAATAGGTTAAAGAGAGATAACGGAGACTATACAGATTTTTAAAAATGAAACTGAGCGGGGAACAGGCAGGCAGCAAAGCTCTCCTACCAAAAGAAAGCATCTTTGAACGAGTGCGTATCAGGGCATCAGAAGGGGAAATGAGGTCAGGTCTCAGAAAATCCTTAACAATCTGCTCCGTGTCTCTCTCAGCTGAGGAAGCCGGTGGTGGAGAAAATGCGCCGCGACCGGATTAACAGCAGCATCGAGCAGCTGAAACTGCTGCTGGAGAAGGAGTTTCAGAGACACCAGCCCAACTCCAAGCTGGAGAAAGCCGACATCCTGGAAGTGGCTGTCAGCTACCTGAAGCAGCAGAGCCAGCTGCAGGACCCAAGTGAGTGCAGAGCATGTATTTTACACCACTTAAAGGCTACTGCCACAGACCTTGGCCCTCCCGTGTAGCCCTGGCCCCCGCAGCGTGCAGGGGCTGTAACAGTCCAGGTCCAGCCACGTGAGCGAGGGCCGTGGACTCAGGCTTGTGAAAGAAACTCACTGCATGAATCGCCACTGCCCCATGGTTTGGTCACGATCCTAACCCATTGCATTTGCTTCTTTCTTTCTTTCCTAGCGTTCGTTCACAAGAACCTGGAGCAGGACTTTGCCAGCGGGTACCTGCGGTGCCTCAGAGAGGCTATGCACTTTCTCTCCTGCTATGAACCCAAGAAGGAGACCCAGGTGCAGCTGATCAGGCACTTCTGCAAAGCTCACATGGGTGCAGATGCTACGTACTCTCCTGCTCTGCGTAGTCCACCTCTGTCACCCTGTCTGTTTGCCAGAAAGCAACCTGCCCAGAAGACTCTGGCTGCTGCTCCTACCATCTGGAGACCTTTTTTTCTGAACCTTGGTTTATTCCTCTGTTTTGCTACAAAAACTAGAGGGACTTGTGATTTCATAGTTCCTCTTTGAAGTAGGAAACATTGCTTTCCAAAGGTGGGAGGAGGGTGGTTATTGTTTTTCTGTCACAAGAAATGAGGGTCGCTGAGTAGTTTCCCTTCATAGTGAAGGAACATATTTGTACATTGCAGCAAATCTGTTGCTTTTATCGGTGGCTCCTGGCTAAAGAGAGGACCAAGTTCTGCAGTGATTTAGAGAGCCAAACGCCCTTCGGTTTCCATCACACTTTTCTTGGCAAGGCTCTTCTGCCTGTGGCTGTCAGTGGAAATCTTTCTATAACTGCCTGGGTCACTGGTTCAAGTGCTCCATTGTCTCTAGATAATCTATTGACCCTCCTAAAGAAGGAGCACTTTGAAGAATGTATTTTGTATCATAAAGAGAGTATTGAGCCTTTATCTTTTGAGTGAAAGATGCTATTAAGAAATGCTGATTCTTCTGAAGTTCCTATGCTATTTTTAGTACCTCTTCTTACAGAAAATTATGATGGTAACAGATAGCTCTAGGGAAAATTCTCTTGATGTCAGTATGTGCTGCTCTCAGTTGAGGGATGATTGATGCCTTTTGTAAAGGAAATACCTGTGATATATCTTAAGGAAAGAGAGGAGGAGGGGAGGCAATAAGTACTTTATAATCATACACTGAACGCGCTAAGGAGCTTAAAAAGCTTTTATAAAGTTGTGATGTATTCATCCTGTGTGATGTTCAGCTTTGGTGTCTTCGCTGTACAATACAATAAAAATACAATGACAAAATTGCTTTCTTTACTGCAGTGAAATCTGCCTGTATATGGCTAAAAATATACATATCTTGATAGCAAACAGAGACTGAAAAAGCATTTCCTCCCCTAAATTATTTCCTCATACTCTTCTCTTCTTCAAACACTTATTCTCTTTCTCTGACATCCACCTAAGAGTCTAAAACATGGCATGAATCGGGTCGAAACTGCCACACTCCACCAGGCTTTTGAGTTTTTTTTCTGTCTAGCCTGTTGTAGAGCTGGTCTCTCTGCCAAGTATCTTTTAAACGATCCTCCCTTGATTTTTTTCACCCCACCTCGACTCCAGCATATCCTCTTACACCGATTTACGACAGCCTGCCCACCTCGCTTGCCCCAGCGGGGTGACCCGGACTAAGCAGCCTGGGCTTCCCGCGCGCTGCGGAGAGGCACCGCAGCGCCGTGCGCAGCCGCAGCTCGAGCCCCGTGAGACTCTTCTGCAGCTCTCCCTGCACATCCCACACCATTCCTGAGCCACATCCTCTCCTGAGGATCAAGTCAGCTGCGCTCCGGGGATGCGAGGAAGATGAGCACCTGTTGCAAAGGATGTGCTTGTCCTTCTCCCACACAGCTACACAGAGAGGGAACGGATGAGCTGACCAAGCAAAAAGGGATTCAGAAGGCATTTGGGGAAGGAGGAAAAAAACGCACGAGAAGGGGATCCTAAAGCCATCCTCGAGCGCTTTAAATACAGTCTCTCCAAAACACAGCACTTTCCCCAATAACATTCACTCACTTTTCCTTAGAAGAGTTCTCATTCATTGCTCAGTGGGGCCTATTCACCTTTTATTTGCCCTTCTCCTTAAAGTAAAATAAATCTGCACAAATAATCAGTTCACAAAACTATTTTCTATCCACAATAACACACTGATTTGGATATATGACAGAGAATCCTCTCTTTCTTCCAGAGGTACAGTAACAGCATGAAACACCATTGGTCAACAATTTCAACTCTCCTCAGGTTCCCTGGGAGAGATGCCCTTGAAAAATTTCGTTTCTAGCATATGCTTTTTTCCTTAATCATAAAGAATCCTAGAATACCTGATCCTGTCAAATGGCTGCTTAGTCAAGCACTAAGCAACCTCAGATCTGCTAAGCTGACAAGATCAAACTGCATTCAAACACTGCTAGCTGTACCTGGCCAGTCCTCGCTTGATTGGTGATGAAACCCTTCGTTACACGTATGGAAAGGACCAAAAAGCCAGCTAGCCAGGTCAAGAACATACTGCTCCACCTCATTACAGTTGCATGGATTGTTCTGGCTATTATTTTACCCCGAATGCATGAGCTGGTTGAGTGCTCTTCATCTGTCTGCCAATGCCATACGAGGTGGGGTTTTGGTACAGTTCTGCAATTCATCAGCTGATACCAATACTGCAGATAGATTTGTGCTTCCTAACGAACTACTAAGTAATTCAGAAAAGATATTCTTAGATTTTGTGGTTGCTTAGCGATCTTGAAAAAGTCACTTCACCTTGCTGTGCTCAGCTTGTCTTTGTCAATTAGTACGAGCTTCTGGATCCCAGCAAAATTCAAGCTGTTCATCCATGCCTGTGCATTTTTAAATCAAGCCTAATTAGGGCAGTTTGAACTCCCCCAAATTTCCTATCCACAGACTCAAAGCACACCGCAACCTGCCTGTGCACCACAGGGACTGGGAACACGGAGAAGTCTGCACAGGTATCTTCTGCAGCTCATGTGTTACCACCCAAGCAAACCACGTTGCGAGTGTCACAGTTGGCAGCACCACTGCAGTTCATGTAAAACTGACAGCAGAAATGGAAAAGAGAAAAGGAAACCAAAGAGGAGCTGCACAACCCAAAGACTGTTGGATTTGAAGCCAGTCCCTCTAGTTCCAGGCTAACATGGGAACAGGCTGTAGAAATGGCAACTGTGCAAAACCCATGAGAGATCACGCTCAGACTTCTCAGCCCAGAACTCCTGCCACCCATATTGGCATAAACCTGGAGAGGCATGGCTACCACAAGGTCCAATTGTCATTTACACCGAGACCATACTACGCTACTCTGGCTATAATGGGGAGTCGATCCCGCTCAGCTGTGAGTGTACATGAGATTCAGACCTACTGTTTGCAGATTGCTGTAAGGGAGAGAAACAGCCAGCACCTTCTTTCTGGGCAGGAGGAAGAAACCAAATCCCACCAGAAAGGCTCCAGAGAGTCAGACCCATGGCCAGTGCAAGCGCATCGTTTCTGTTTTTCGCCAGCCAACGACTTGCCCCTCTGGGCTTCAGTTTACCAGTTACTTGACAGCTAAAAGCCAGACCTCTGATTTCACCAGTCTTAGCACAGCAAAGGGGATGTTTACAATTTATTAATTATTATCACTTATCATAATTGAACGCGAAGCTTCTTATTGCTCCTCTGTCCCCTGGGGTGACTCTCCCCTGCTCCAACACATTCCCACCCTTAGGGAAGATGTTGTTTATTATGCTGATCCCACAGCCCAGGAATACTCTCCTGACAAAGCCCCTATTAACCTCAGAGTGTGGGCCTGAGTTTCTCAGAGTTTCCCACACTTTCTTCCCTATTTATGACATTCAAAGTGACCACAAAGGAAGCGTGCCTCACAACAGCCCACATTAGTGACGCTTTTTGGCTCTGCATTGTGATGACCAGCAATTCCTGTCCCGATAGACCATCTGGAGAGCTATTTTCCCAAGGAGCACATTGATCGATCAGTATTATGCGAGAGCCCTTTTAAAACTTGGGAACGTTATGCTCTTTGACACTAAATAGGTGTCTCCAGAGGCGTTGTCAGAAAGATTTTAAACCATTTAAGGAAGGCATAGAAAAAATCAAAATTGTAATTATTTCTTTAAAAACACCATCAATAGCATTTGTGAGACAGGCTGACACGAATGTAGGAAATGATCTAAAATAAAAATGGTCTAAAAGTGACATAGAAAGGAAAGCTTTAAGCCATCAAGTTGTGTGCTGTAGGTACAGTCCCAGACGTACAGCAGCACTGCTTTTTAAATCTGTGAAACACAGACAATGAAATTCTGGTTTTCTGTGCTCTTCTCTGATAGTCTGCCTTCCTCCGGACCTGTTGCTACGTTGCAACAGGTTCTCCTCCACGGAAAGCTGAGTATCAGATGGGCTAAGAAAGCTGCCGATTGGTATTACAAGTAGTAGCAGCTTTTGTGAAAACTGTGTGTAGCAAACCTCCACCTGGGCTGAAATCACCACCTACAAACCAGAGGCAGAAAGCTCCACGGTCCAGTACCAGTTTCCCGGGCTGGCAGTCCTCCAGCTGGTTTGATCTACGGACTAGAATGAACACAAGCCTATGGATGAGAGTCTTGGGGTTGGTTAGTTACCTTTCCTGCATCCTCTGTGGTTGTGTCCCAACTCAAAGCAATTTACGGCGCACAGGTTGCACACCGTAGCTCGGGGTGAAATGGTGAGCATCTACAGTTGGAGACAATGAACCTGGTGGTTCTTGCCTCAGGAGAAGCTAGGACTACTGCCCGACACGCAAGGTCACATGGACAATGTACTTACATTGTCCATGTAAGTACAGACATGGACAATGGTTTGCAGATTTCTGTTTCCCCTTAACACTCTTTAGTATCTATACCAAGTGAGAGCAGAGACCTGTGCTTCCTAATCCCTGTTTTCACGTGTGATTTTGAAGGCTGCATCTTCAGGATGCAGCTCATGACTGTGATGTGATTTACAGAGGAAAAGCAAGCCTCTTTGTCCATCCGCAGAGCTGTCCTCTCTCAAGAGTGGGTCCAGACTTCACAACATCCTCCAACGAAGGGAATTATTGTGTCACATTATTTAGTCAGCTCCACGTTTGGCAATTTTGGGTATTTGTTTCTTTTAACCCTTCATTCCAAAACCAGGGAAAGCCCTGCTTCTGGGCCTCGGACAATCTTTCATTCTGGCTCCGCAGTGACAGTCGGAGAGAGGCACAAACTCCTCCCACAGTGACAAGGATTTGGATCACAAATGTGTGTCAGTGGGACAGACTACTGCACCAACAGCTGAATTTTAAAAGAGCCTAAATTGAGAAAACTAGTTATGGACTTTTAATAAAGAGCAACTGGCCTGCCTACTGCACAAGATTTTTTTTTTCCTTACCGAAATCCTTGCAGAAAGTGTGTACTGCACCCAGTTCCATAATGAACATATTCTAGGGACAGTCTTAGCCCAGACAATTTATTATTCTCAAGCATCAGTCAGGAAATATCGTTGCCGTTATTTTTC